CATGACGGACAGTACTTGCCCTTCACTGTATACTAGAAGTGTGATACATGTGATGCATTCAGCTGATTGATACCAAGCAATATCCCTGATAGGGCCTTAGTTCTATCGCTTACCAAGTTCATTCGAAACAAAGGAATCTGTTTGTACTCTGTCACTAAACTTGTATGTCTCGCAGCAGACAAGTACTGGTACATTGTACGCGTTTGCCATCAGCGCGATCATTGATGTACCAACACGTGACTTGACGTAACCATTGGCTAATAGCGCATGCGCACCAAGAAATACCTTGGAGACCTGAAATACAAAAGGTCATATTACATTCGTTCTTTCTAAGGTTATAAATCATGCATTTGAATTAAAGCCATATCATGCAAACCCCTCCCCCCCTCCACTCTCCTTAGGAAATAACCTTTCTGCATTCCCTGGTTTTACTCCCTTCAAACAAGTCACACTCCTAAATTCCAGTTCGAATGAGGGAAGAGGGCCACAGGCTTGCTATAAGCGTAACTCTCACAAAACAAGGACTTACAACTTTACGGACAAGTCATCACCGGCCCCTTTGACTACATATCAAAACTTCTGGAGTAGGGGGGTTGGGGGTAGAGTTTGGTGTAAAAAACGACGCTTCAATGATACCTCTTTAATGACATAAGACATTGCAGTGATTTGAACATAAGAACATCTGATACCATGATTGACAAGCCGACGCAGACACTCACGACCTGAAAGAAAGAAAACATTATTGATTATTGACGACCCATTGTATAATTATTGGTTATTAGAGTATAATTATTGGTTATTAGAGTATAATTATTGGTTATTAGAGTATAATTATTGGTTATTAGAGTATAATTCGCATAACAATGACAATTCACTGTCAGTAGTACATATATTTTGTTACCTTCAAGTTTTGGTCTGGAATCTACGACGATTACAGTGAACTTCTTCCCCGCATCGTGAGCATCTTTGAGGATCTTGTCAACCAGAGATGAACTGAACAATAAGAAAATGTTCTAAGCGTTTTCAAGAATACGGTAAATTCAAAAGACCCCTTGCATGTAACGTTAAAGGAGCTTGATCTGGGGGACAAAACAAAAGAATTCCAATCTCCTGACAATTGGAACCCATCGTTTCGTCCCCCAGCTCCCAAAGTGCTGCAAGGGGTCTATTTTACAGTAGCAGTACAACACTGTGATTGGATGAATTGTCTGGACGAAACAATGGCAAGCCATTTCAGTGTTAAGTCATGTCGTACTGCATGCAAACTCTAGTCAGTACCTTAGATATGTTTATATCACGATTCCTTATGCCTCCATAGACGGCAAATGATGGAGCGTTGTGGTAGGATGAATTACTTAAAGACAATGGGAAGCCATTTCAGTGTTACGGCATGTCGTACCGTGTGCGTGCTGTAAGTCAGTACCGCATGTTTTCCACTCACATGATAACCATTCTAATGGGAAGCCATTTCAATGTTACGGCATGTTGTGCCGTGTACGTGCTGTAAGTCGGTTTCCCACTCACATGATAACCATTCTAATGGAAAGCCATTTCAATGCTACGGCATGTTGTACCGCATACATCTCCCTTAAGGATAGTGTATGTAACACGGTATACAAGGGCTGAAATACACTCACCATGCGTAGGTGAGTATGACATCACCATCGTGTATCTTGGTTATTGCATATGTCTTAGAGATGGCTTCGTCTGCCAATATGATTCGTTCGCGAATAAACCTATTTATTTTGTCAAGAAGACTTTTCTTGGCCTGCAGAATAAAGATAATAATGAAAAATCTTTACGAGAGGGCGAAAAATGATATGGCGCATTCGTAGTCGTACCTAGAGGCGTATCCAGAATTTTGCCTTGGGGGGAGGGGGAGGGGGAGGGGGCCAAAATCCATTCTCAGAACATCGGTATGTCAAACTTATCACGTGACTACATAATTACATTGACAAGGACCGAAAATCAAAATGGTTTGCAATACACACCTCTTCTTCTGGCATATCAGGAGGTATCTTTGTGATGTTGAACTTGATGTACTTGATAGCATTACCCATACTGACTGATAGAGGTCTACACTGGGTTAAGAAACTAAAAAAAAAA